TGTGTACCGCCTCATCATGCTGCTGCCAGGTCCAGAGTGTCTCATGGGTCCCTGTACAGCCTCCCATTGCTGCTGTCTCCATCGCCACACTCTGCCATGTGCCACTTTCAGGTCTCCTCACACTGCTGGTGTGTTACATTTTTTGTCATAGGGTGCTGGCAGATTACGGGCCTCCCATTGCTACTGCCAGGCCGTAATCTGCCATGGGCCCCTGTACCTACCTGGCCTCCTCATGCTGCTGCCCAGGTCCAGAGTCTCTCATGGGTCCCTGTACGGCCTCCCATTGCTGCTGTCTCCATCGCCACACTCTGCCCATGTGCCACTTTCAGGTCTCCTCACACTGCTGGTGTGTTCCATTTTTTTGTCATAGGGTGCTGGCAGATTATGGGCCTCCCATTGCTGCTGCCAGGCCAGTTATCTGCCATGGGCCACTGTACCGCCTCATCATGCTGCTGCCAGGTCCAGAGTGTCTCATGGGTCCCTGTACAGCCTCCCATTGCTGCTGTCTCCATCGCCACACTCTGCCATGTGCCACTTTCAGGTCTCCTCACACTGCTGGTGTGTTACAATTTTTTGTCATAGGATGCTGGCAGATTACGGGCCTCCCATTGCTGCTGCCAGGCCTGTAATCTGCCATGGGCCCCTGTACCGCCTCCTCATGCTGCTGCCAGGTCCAGAGTCTCTCATGGGTCCCTGTACGGCCTCCCATTGCTGCTGTCTCCATCGCCACACTCTGCCATGTGCCACTTTCAGGTCTCCTCACACTGCTGGTGTGTTACTTTTTTTGTCATAGGGTGCTGGCATATTACGGGCCTCCCATTGCTGCTGCCCAGGCCCGAAATCTGCCATGGGCCCCTGTACCGCCTCCTCATGCTGCTGCCAGGTCCAGAGTCTCTCATGGGTCCCTGTACGGCCTCCCATTGCTGCTGTCTCCATCGCCACACTCTGCCATGTGCCACTTTCAGGTCTCCTCACTCTGCTGGTGTGTTACATTTTTTGTCATAGGGTGCTGGCAGATTACGGGCCTCCCATTGCTGCTGCCAGGCCCGTAATCTGCCATGGGCCCCTGTACCGCCTCCTCATGCTGCTGCCAGGTGCAGAGTGTCTCATGGGTCCCTGTACGGCCTCCCTTTGCTGCTGTCTCCATCGCCACACTCTGCCATGTGCCACTTTCAGGTCTCCTCACACTGCTGGTGTGTTACATTTTTTGTCATAGGGTGCTGGCAGATTACGGGCCTCCCATTGCTGCTGCCAGGCCCGTAATCTGCCATGGGCCCCTGTACCGCCTCTCATGCTGCTGCCAGGTCCAGAGTCTCTCATGGGTCCCTGTACGGCCTCCCATTGCTGCTGTCTCCATCGCCACACTCTGCCATGTGCCACTTTCAGGTCTCCTCACACTGCTGGTGTGTTCCATTTTTTGTCATAGGGTGCTGGCAGATTACGGGCCTCCCATTGCTACTGCCAGGCCCGTAATCTGCCATGGGCCCCTGTACCGCCTCCTCATGCTGCTGCCAGGTCCAGAGTCTCTCATGGGTCCTTGTACGGCCTCCCATTGCTGCTGTCTCCATCGCCACACTCTGCCATGTGCCACTTTCAGGTCTCCTCACACTGCTGGTGTGTTCCATTTTTTGTCATAGGGTGCTGGCAGATTACGGGCCTCCCATTGCTGCTGCCAGGCCTGTAATCTGCCATGGGCCCCTGTACTGCCTCATCATGCTGCTGCCAGGTCCAGAGTGTCTCATGGGTCCCTGTACAGCCTCCCATTGCTGCTGTCTCCATCGCCACACTCTGCCATGTGCCACTTTCAGGTCTCCTCACACTGCTGGTGTGTTACATTTTTTGTCATAGGGTGCTGGCAGATTACGGGCCTCCCATTGCTGCTGCCAGGCCCGTAATCTGCCATGGGCCCCCTGTACCGCCTCCTCATACTGCTGCCAGGTCCAGAGTCTCTCATGGGTCCCTGTACCGCCTCCCATTGCTGCTGTCTCCATCGCCACACTCTGCCATGTGCCACTTTCAGGTCTCCTCACAAGGTGCTGGTGTGTTACATTTTTTTGTCATTGGGTGCTGGCATTACGGCTTCCCATTGCTGCTGCCAGGGGCCCGTCATCTGCCATGGGCCCCTACTGCCTTCCTCACGACTGCCTCCTCTGTTGCACGCCTGCAAAAGCTGTCTGGTCAGGTCTCTCATGGGCCACTGTACGGCCTCCCATTGCTGCTGTGTGGCCATCGCCACACTCTGCCATGTGCCACTTTCAGGTCTCCTCGCACTGCTGGGTGTTACATTTTTTGTCATAGGGTGCCTGCAGATTACGGGCCTCCCATTGCTGCTGCCAGGCCCGTAATCTGCCATGGGCCCCCCGTACCGACTCCTCATACTGTGACGTTGCAAGGCAAGGTGGAATTCAAACCCTACATATGTTTGACCGCCTTTACAAACAGCGAAAGGCCATCACAGATTTCCTGATGTTACAAGCGGATAAGGTACTCCCTGTGTAACTTAGATGTCAGCCATTGGCAGCTCATGCGTGACCCTCGCTGCCGTTTGCTCATGCCCTTTGAGGAGGCCAAAATAAAGTACTATAAAAACCACCTATATAGTCAGCTGGTCTCTGCCTTTCTGCGCCAACGTCCATCCTCAGACACTGTGGGCCCTGTGCGCTCGCGTTCCGCTGCCATGGCAGCAGGGGAGGGGTGGGGTGGTAGGAGCAGTGGCAGCTCCACCAGCAGCGGCTGCCTCAGTCTGCAGTCGATGATGAGTAGCTTTCTTCACCAGCGCAGTGAGGAAACTACTAACCAGCCGCAGCAGCAGCATCAGGTGGACCTGGAGCAGGACCTCAAACAACAGGCTTGGGCCTACTTGGACAGCACCCTGCCAACCGAGGTAGACAATCCCCTTGACTACTGGGCAACGAAACTTGACCTTTGGCCCCAACTAGCTGAATTTGCCCTTGAAAGGCTGTCATGCCCGGCCAGTAGCGTGGCATCGGAGCGCGTGTTTAGTGCGGCAGGAGGTATTGTAACTCCGCGGAGGACACGACTGTCCACCCAAAGTGTGGAGAGACTCACGTTTGTGAAAATGAATCAGGCGGGGATTAGTCTGGATTTCAAACCACCAGTTCCTGACACAACTGACTAAATCCGCCATGAATCATGCCCCAAACATGTGCCACTTTCAGGTCTCCTCACACTGCTGGTGGGTTCCATTTTGTCATCAGGTGCTGGCAGATTACGGGCCTCCCATTGCTACTGCCAGGCCCGTAATCTGCCATGGGCCCCTGTACCGCCTCCTAATGCTGCTGCCAGGTCCAGAGTGTGTCATGGGTCCCTGTACGGCCTCCCATTGCTGCTATCTCCATCGCCACACTCTGCCATGTGCCACTTTCAGGTCTCCTCACACTGCTGGTGGGTTCCATTTTTGTCATAGGGTGCTGTATGGCCTCCCATTGCTGCTGCCTCCACCGCCGCACTGTGGCTCCACACTCTGGTTTTGGCCCCGTGACTGCCCAAATGAGTGAAGTGTGCGGTGATTCTAAGATCGACGGCACTCATCTGCATGTCATACTGACTGACAGTATTATTTCTCTTTCCCAGCAGACTCCAAGGGCATTTAAATTAAAGGTACAGTGTTCTGCACTAATATAAAGGCTCTCTGAAGCCTAGAAACACCCTTTTATAATTTAAAATCGCAGCGAATATATTCGCATCGAATCAAATTTATTTCTCGAATTTGCCGAATCAGCTGAATCGAATTTTTGAATACTTCGCTCATCTCTACTTACAATCTAGGAGGGAGGGATAGTGGTAAAAAAGGTAGTAACTGTGGAGGATGGACTGGTTGGAAAAGTAGAGGATTCCAGTATTAGCTGAGGGCAGGATAGTCTTCCCTGAAGAGATAAATTTTCAGAGATTGCCTAAAAGTGAGCAGAGTAGGCGATAGTCTGATAAACTGGGGTAGAGAGTTCCAAAGGATGGGGGGAGCTCTGATTCTGTTTAACCACTTGCCCTCCTGAGGATTTACCCCCCCCCCCCCCCTGACCAGGCCATTTTTTTTTGCATTACGGGGCTGCGTTACTTTAACTGACAATTTCACGGTCATGCAACTCTGCACTCAAATTAAATTTACATCCTTTTTTCCCACAAATTGAGCTTTCTTTTGATGGTATTTGATCGCCCGTGCGTATTTAATTTTTTGCACTATAAAAAAAAAGACCGACAATTTTGAAAAAAACAATATTTTGGACTTTTTGCTATTAAACATGTCCAGTAAAAAAATTTTAAAAATCAAATTTCGGCATAAATTTAGGCCAAAATGCATTCTGCTACATCTTTGCTGAAAACAAAATCCCAATATGTGTAAATTAATTGGTTTACGTGAAAGTTATAGCGTTTACAAATGGCAGTATATATACTGGGGTTTTTGTTTTTAATTTTTACTAGTAGACATTGGGGGGGGAACTGACTTGGTGTCACTGACATCCCCAGTGACACCAATACAGTGATCAGTGCTAAAAGAAAAGCACTGACACACTTTTTTTTTTCATTCTTTTATTTAGAAAATTTCAAAGTAAAAATAATCACATTTTGCCATGTTACAAGTTACATCACAGAAGCACAGGCAAAGAAAATTACAGAAGAGAAAAAAAAAAATTTAACAACAAAAAAAAACTCTTCAAAGATTCCAAAGAATATACAAAATGTAAAATAATTTCTTAACATAAAAGAAAAAACAATAAAAACAAACTACACCAAGAAAAATAAAAAAAACAACAATAAAAGAAAAGCACTGACACACTACTAATGGCACTGGGCAGCAAGGTGTTAACATGAGGAGTGATCAAAGGGTTAACTGTGTGCTATTTTACATAGTGCTGTGTCCATGTGCTTCATTGTAAGCACATTTTTTTTTTGTTAAAAAATATACTTTATATTTTACAAAAGTATAAAAAAAAAACAAGATACTTTAGTCGGGGTACATCTCATCCTGTACTGTGACACAGAGCATAATATACCACATGACAATACAATTCCAATCATACAATAAATACATTTACTCTGCGGTATGATGCCTAACGTGTTGTGCACGGCAGACGAATTCCCTGGACCATCATGTCATGCATGACACTGCTTACCTTGAGACTGTTGTGGCCCCCTAATGTTTCACCAGAGGCACCCCCACATAATCATAACATGAAGAAACATTACGGAATAAACAAATTTAAACAAGCATCGGGTGTGTTGGGGGGTAGGAAAGAGGGCAGAGGGAAAGGGGAAAGAGTTCACAGGCCCAAAGCTTTATTGAAAGGACAAAGACACGCAAGAGAGAGTAGGGGGAAGGGGAGCCCCTCAGATGTCCTCTTCCTCCTTAAAGTCCATCAAGTTATAGTCTCTAAGCGGACTGTAAGGGAATCCCAGTGAGACGATTAGCGAATAGAAGTGTGCATGTGCACAGAAATGCACGATCGTGCACACGCACGGTGAAGATTGGCACCAGATGGACTATTTAAAAGGTGCCTCTGCCTGTGCTGAGTGTTGACTGGTCTTCAGCTGTTCCCCATTTCCTGCTTGTTCCTGTGTGATTTTCCTTGTTGCTGACCTGGCTTGTTCCTGACCTGACTTTGATTACATTCCTGCTTGATACTTGTTCCTGACTTCAGCTCTGCTCCTGACTTTGCCTTGCTTATGATTTGGTACCTCGCTGTCCGCCTGTTGATGACCTCGTCATTTCAGTCTCCAATCAGGTATGTGATACAGACTGAGGATCAGTCTGCGACAGTCCTCAATGGACATCCTCTCCCGCTGGTGGATGAGGTGCTTCCTGGCACACCATAAAGTGTCCCTAAAACAACATAGCACCTGCCAGGCACCATCAATGTGTTCCAGAGTAAACGTCCCACAGAAAAGTCCATTCAACACACCAAAGTGTGTGATGGCTGCCTGTGGCACAAAGTCTTTGAATTCTGGTTCCAAGGCCCTCAACAGGTCCTGAGGAAAAGAGCACTCCCAGAAAATGTGCTGAGCCGTTTCCTCTTGGACGATGCAAAAAGGACAGTGTCTGTATCTGCTCAGGTTCCTGGCATGCATAAATGTCCTGAGTGGCAACCCCCCTTGGATTGCCATTCATGCCAGGTCCTTGTGCCTGTTGGTGAGTCTCTTTCAAGAAACATTCCTCCAGACCACCTTGCAAGTGGCTGAAGGCAGGCCTGGAACTGAATCCAAAATG